CCAACTCACAGAAGGTATGGATCAGAGATTGGCGATCCAAGATCGGGAGATCGGAGAAAGGGAAAAAATATGTTAGTCTGCTGAGGTTGTTTATACACATCTGCTGCTTGCTGGTAGGCCTTTTTCCAAGAGTGAGGAAAATCTGCCTGCGCATGGCTGTGGGTGAGCGAGAGGGTGGTTGGGTGGAGAAACGCAGCAGGTCAAACAAACTCGCTGCAACAGCTGGTCAAGCGGTGCATTGGGTGTTGTTTTCACCAAATCCCGTGTGATGGATCCACCAATGGCGTGCATCCTGAAGGTTGACTTGTGGTGGTTTCGGGCCTGCCGAGTGGGTTCGGGCAGCTGGCTGCCCCGCAGAAGCTCAAGGGCCACTGACAACGCGCCGCCAAAACATTCTTGTTGTGGAGAGTCTCTTCCTGGGATGTGGGTGGTAAAGGGCCTGAAACGAATCCACGTGTCAGGCCCCGATACCCTTTTTGGCGGGGGCTGTCGCATGCTGCTGACATGGAAAAGATGCTCGTAAAATATGACACATAAAACGGTAAAACGTAAACCGACTTCGACCTCGTTACTGTCAGCTCCTTCGAATCTCTCAATAGCGAGTCCGTAATGGTGGCTTACCACTCCAGTAATATGAATATCTTATGTAGTGTAGCTAATGAATAATTATCAACATTTGCGACAATACTGTTTGCCTTCCCCTTCCTCCAGTTCCCCCTCTTCCTTCCATCTTTCTCCCAGTCCTGCCTTCTCTCCCTCCCTCTTTTCGCTCGCCTTCTTTCCCGCGACCAACTAGCCCTAATCTCGCGTGCCTTAGTATCCTAATCCGCAGCCATGGCCAGCGAGCTCGCCTGCACATACGCTGCCCTTATCCTTCACGATGATGGCATTCCCATCACGGTGAGCACTTGTGATTTTTGCCGCACGAATACTGCGGTGCCGATGCTTCCCTTCTCACCAGGTTCCCCGCATGCGACGCTTTGGAACGATCTCCAAGTAGAATGTCCAAGTAGGTCACAGGCGAGGAACGCAACTGTGTAGAAAAGCGAAGTTGATCAGGGAAGTGTCATGCTGTGTTTGCAGCTTGAGGAACTGCCACTGCTGCTAGCTTTGCTACTTCTGACGGTTGCTTAGCTTGGCGATGCCTAAATTCAGTCACCTTAAGTATTTTAGAGTCCCTCGCGCGTTAATGATCGTGGACGAACGCTGCAGTAATCGGCGGGACAGGTCTGTCTCATTAGGTTAACCATTATGATAGTCGTTAGGGTCTTCAACATCTGCCGGATTCTTAGCTCCTCGGTCTGGCGGTAAGATGGTTGCTTACTAAGTCAAGGGCGAGTCTGGTAGTAGTTCGGGCTTGAGTGATTGGACCGAGGGGTTTGGTCCTTTCATGGGTGATTTATGCGGGACTAGCCCTCTGTTCCTGTCGTAAGTGATTTGTCTCGATCCCATTTTCATTCCCACATGACAGGCCGACAAGATCGCGACGTTGGTGAAGGCCGCGAACGTGAACGTGGAGGCTTACTGGCCCACGCTCTTCGCCAAGCTGCTCGAGAAGCGCAGCGTTGAAGACCTCGTCTCAAACATCGGATCAGGTACGGTGCAATTTGGTCACATGCGGCACAGTGCAGTGTGGTCACATGCGGTGTGATCGTATCAGGCGGTTTGTAGCTTGCAAACCAGGTAGTCCTTGGCATGGTGCGTCAGGTATTCGTAGTTGCTGACGGCGGTGAATCTGCAATCATATGGGCGCCCTTTATCAATTGCACTTTAAAGTTTCCTTCCCCAAAAGGTTTTGGAACTGTACAGCACAGAAGCAGTTGCTACCGTAGATGTTTTGGATAGCTTCTGGAGGCTGTATGAAACATGCTGGTAGGGAGGAGGATTGGCGAAGGCTTGTTAGCAAACCTGACGCATTCGCATATGCCGTTCGTTCAGCTGGAGTGAAGCTGGGATTTTTGAATTCACTGTCTTGATACCCTGTCGTCAGCTGGTCTACTCATTTACTCATCGTTCTTTTATTCGCCTGTTCTCCCTCTTATCCAGGTGGCGGCGGTGCCGTTGCCGCTCCTGCTGCTGCGGGCGGTGCTGCTGCACCAGCAGCTGAGGAGAAGAAGGAGGAGAAGAAGGAGGTGAGCATTCGTGATTCTGGCTCTTCGTTTTTAAATACCCCGGAAGGGTCTGTGGATAGCTCGTGCCAAAATAGTGCTTTGTTGTGTTGGCCTCAAGATGTCGTTGATCTGATGGTTCGTATTCGCTTACTATGATGTCTCTGTCACACCCACCTTCCCTGAACGCCTTCTGGATGCAACAGGAGGAGAAGGAGGAGAGCGATGACGACATGGGCTTCAGCTTGTTCGACTGAGCACCAAATACCATCTCTTCTCAGATCCCAGCCTTCACCTCCATTTTGACAGCTGTGATGCTTTCTAGGGCCGCTCAGCCTCCCTTTGTCTTAGCAAGGTCTTCCACTATGTATCACATGCTATCAAATGATGGTTCTTGTTGCTGCTGGCGCTGGTCTGCCTCCAGTGTTGTGCAATGGTAGAATTTTATTAACTTACACGTCACGGTTCGTAAAATAAGGAATATGAGAGTGGAAAGAATGAATACCAAGAGTGTTCTTGAGTCAGAGAGTGGAGCTGCAGTGTACACAGCACCAGTAACCTACGATTTGTTCTGCTTTCCTTCATATTTATTGAAAACTACTCGATTTTGTCCGTCCTCCTCAGGCGGATGAAACCAAGGTGGCTGACATGTGTCGCACACGCATGTCACGCGTACGGACTCGTGAAACATGTCGCCCGCAACTGTATCTGTTCGCATCTTGTCGCAACGCATCCGTGCAAGCACAATCAAGCTATTGCTTCTGTTTCCCTCCCTATCTGTCATTTCTCCAACCTCTTCACTGCCGTTTTACCCTGCTGCCATTTCCGCTAAGCGGGTAGCTCGCAACGGTACTGTCCTCGAGCCTAAGCCGAGGCAGGGTGAAACACGTTTGAGCGAGCAGGTCGAGGTTGGGTCATGCGCTGCTGCTGGTTCCTAGTGCAGTAGAAACGATGTTCGCTGCAATGCTGTTGGTGCCTTGAGCCGTGAAATGGATGCTTGTTTTTTTATTATGTTTTTATGATATGGCTCTCGACGAATTCTCCAATGCCGAGGCAGCATCCGCGAGCTTGAGCTTTAGGTTAGAATGGACGATCACCCTGGCATTTCTAAGACCTAAGTAGACTCCTAGTCGACTCAGAGACACGTCAGTTCCACCCTGGCGCTCCGGAATCTTGTCGACTTGTTTATTTGCCATTAGTACCTGTGCCTTGGCTACGTGGTGGAGCTATATCTGGGATGATTATTCTGTGACACGGTTAGCAGCCGAATGCAGCAGAGGAGATACCCTAGGTGAAGGTTACTTGTTTACCTCTCGCGATTACAAACGCAACGGCTTGTGAATCAGGGTGCTGCGTGCATGAAGAGTGATATCGGTCACTTGTTAGCATCGTGAGGCAGCTCGCACATTGAAGTGGGCTGCTTCGTGCGATTGATTGCGACTGAGACGACTGACCGCGACGAATAAAAGCTTTTGGGATTCCTTCACGTCACAAACACTAGTGGAGCTAGCTGTCTGCGTTGACCGAAAGCTTTGACTCTGAGGACCTACCTTTTATCCCACTTCGCGTCGTATCCCGCTTCGCTCTTAATTAAGCACGATGTCTCGCCAACCGTCGCCAATGCGGGCTCCGCGCACAAGAATCTTGAACGAAAAATACGTGAGTGGCGCTACCTGCTCCTAGTTTACCCTCCTTCGCTCGCAAAGTTCAAGTTTTATTCTCTGTTGTTAAAGGGATACATCATGCCTACTGCAGGACAAGTATTCAGCTCACATGTTATCGACCTCTTATTTGGATTGCATATTCGCTACCGTTTTCGCCTACTTTTTTCTTCACCTATCTTGATAAAATCTGCTGTTTCTCTTCACATAAGGTGTTCGCGCACATGTCCGTGTGCGTGTGCATGTTCATGCGGGTGTGTGCCTGCATGCGTGTGTGCGTGTGCGCGCAGCTGCTGGGAGAGGAGTTGGGAAAGGGCGCGAACGGGCGAGTGTTCAAGGCGCTGGACCTGCAGAACGGCGACTTCGTGGCCGTCAAGGAGGTGTCCCTCGAGAACATCGACCAGGACGACCTCGCCTCTGTCATGGTGGGCTGCCGGGGGTGTGCTAGAAGGGGTGTGCTAGAAGGGGTGGGCTGCCGGGGGTGTGCTAGAAGGGGTGGGCTGCCGGGGGTGTGCTAGAAGGGGTGGGCTGCCGGGGGTGTGCTGGAAGGGGTGGGCTGCCGGGGGTGTGCTAGAAGGGGTGGGCTGCCGGGGGTGTGCTGGAAGGGGTGGGCTGCCGGGGGTGTGCTAGAAGGGGTGGGCTGCCGGGGGTGGGCTGGAAGGGGTGGTCTGCCGGGGGTGCATGTTTGTAGTTGGAAAGACAGAGTGTGGTCAAGGAGGTGTCCCTCGAGAGCATCGACCAGGACGACCTCGCGTCTTTCATGGTGGGCTGCCAGGACTGCATGTGTGTGGCTGGAGGGACAGACAGATTGTGTGTGGGTGGGTTACTGTAAGGATGTGTGGTCAATTCAGAGAGGGAAATCGGTGGAACACATCGACCAGGTCAACCTCACCTCACGTCCGTTGTGGTGGGCTGCTAGGAGTGGGCTGAGCTGAGAGAGATGCATGGGACGCATTGGTGTGTGTGGCGCAAGCTGTTGTTGTGTATAGGAAAAACCACGGCAGTTGCCGTGCTTGTGCTGCGATCACCCTGCTGCAATAACGTTATTGTGAGAATCGTGTCAAGTTAACCCTACCACATGCGTCGTACACAATCTTTAGTCTTTTCCTGACTTCTTCGTTTCCTGCCTTACCCTTTTCCCCTGCCTCCCCTTCGTGTGACCATGTGCTCTCGGACTGTGGTTTGTGGTGGCTGGCGTATGCTCTTGTCATTTGCAATGCATTTACGGCAGCAAGAAATTGATCTACTCAAGGTGAGCTGTTTTCCACTCTGTCGTGCTCGCTAGACTGTGCTGGACCATGCTGGACTGTGCTGGACCATGCTGGACTGAGCTGTACCGTGCTGTAGACGTTCAACCACAAGAATATAGTCAAGTACCTGGGCTCCATCAAGACCAAGTCGCTGGCGTTTGAATATTTCCTACCATCAAGTGTTCCTGTTATCCCCGCCCCCCTTTTCCCCCTCCCTCTCCCCCCTTCCCTACAGACATTCAACCACAAGAACATAGTCAAGTATCTGGGCTCCATCAAGACTAAGACCCACCTCTTCATCCTCCTTGAGTATGCCTGCCTGCCTGCCTGCCTGCCTGCCCGCCTGCCTGCCGGCCTACCTGCCTCCTGCCACGTCACCCATCCTTCCAGCTGCTTCGCCTCCCCATCCTGTTTTCCGCTGCATGCTGTGCCCTTAGATTGCATGCTCTGCTTCGTCTACTCTCGTGCGACACTGCAACACCATGTTCCTCTCGCTCTGTCTTCCCACCCCACCTTTCCACCCATCTTCTCACGCCGTCCTCTCCTCTCACCCCATCCCTCACCCATCTTCGTCCCTATGGCTAGGTTTGTGGAGAATGGCTCTCTGGCCGGCATCATCAAGCCAAATAAGTTTGGGCCCTTTCCAGAGTGCCTTGTTGCTGTCTACACTGCTCAGGTGTGTAGAGTCTGATTCGTCTGCAAGCAATTGTTGTTAACGCACGTATGCTATTCATCCTATGACTTTGCTCCTTGCATTTCGCCTGCCTTCCACTCTTATTCCCTCTGCTCCTCTCTGCTCCCCCGTTCCTGCTTCCTCACTCCCACTTACTGCCATTTTCTCTGTTTCTCCCCTCCCCCCCCCCCCACCACTGGTGGCAGGTGCTGGAGGGGCTCATGTATCTGCACGAGCAGGGCATCATCCACTGCGACATCAAGGGCGCCAACATCCTCACCACCAAGGAGGTCAGTCAACGTAGTCACCACCAAAGAGGTCAGTCACAGTGCCTTCCCTTCCGTTCCACCTCCTAGTCACTCCTCCACCTACCACACCAACCCCCCTTGCCTCCCACTGGACCCACCGTTTGAGTCACTTCAGAATAACCCGCTGGAGCATCAAACCAGCTGACAAGCTCACTGCGGAAGGGCCACCACGCCGTTCTGGTTGGCGCGAGAGGTGATAGTGATGTCGGACAACTTGTACACGCGCCTTCGACATCTGGAGCATCGTCAGCTTGCTCTATCCTTCAGACTCCCTCTCCCCCTCTTCCCTTCCCCCTCCCCTCTTCTCCTCCTCCTCCTCCTCCTCCTCCTCCTCCTCCTCCTCCTCCTCCTCCTCCTCCTCCTCCTCCTCCTCCTCCTCCTCCTCCTCCTCCTCCTCCTCCTCCTCCTCAACCCGCTCTTTTCCCACCCCTCCCCTCCCTCATTCCCCTCCACCCCTGCAGGGTCTGGTGAAGCTGGCGGATTTTGGGGTGGCGATGCGAGTAGAGGAGGCAGCGGCGTGCCATGGGGACGCGGAGAACCCCAACGTGGTGGGCACGCCCTACTGGATGGCGCCCGAGGTCATTGAGATGTCCGGCATCTCACCCGCCTCCGACATCTGGAGTGTAGGCTGCACTGTTATCGAGCTCCTCACCACCAAGCCGCCCTACTTCGACCTCCAGCCCATGCCCGCTCTCTTCCGCATCGTTCAGGTGCAATTTTGCTCGCACACGACCCTTTTTTGTGTGTGTGTGTTTTTTTTTTTTTTTTTTGGAATGACAGGCTACGTACTTCAGTGAGGAGATTTTTTAGCTGAGTTTTCCAACTCCGCTCACTCACCCTCAAGGGCGTCGTCACGTTTTGTTTTGAGACGTCTCAAAGCACGTCTTCACATACTTTAAAATCTCCGTGCTGTGTCATCATGCACGCCACTTGTCTTGCAGGACGACATGCCGCCCATACCAGAGAATGTGTCAGCTGCCACGTCCGACTTTCTCCACCTCTGCTTCCGTAAGGTGCGGTACAGGGGGTTCCTGGGCTGTCCAATGCTGGGATGCTGGGTGGGATGGTGGAATGCTTTTGCAAGGGGCTCTCTTTCCGTGCCTTCCTCTCGCCAAGGGGCTCTCTTTCCGTGCCTTCCTCTCGCCAAGGGGCTCTCTGTCTCTCTCTCCATGCCCTTCCTTCTCTCACCACATCCCCTCCCTGCCACTCCTTCCTTTTGAGTCGGCCCAAAAATGATGAATTTTGCAAGGGGCTCTCTCCTTGCCCTTGTCTCACCAAGGGGCTCTCTCTGCGTGCCTTCTCTCGCCACATCCCCTCCCTGCCACTCTTTCCTCCTCCTGCTCCCACCACCTCTACAGGACACCAAGAGCCGCCCGGACGCCAAGACTCTCCTGCGGCACCCGTGGATCCGGCAGGCGAAGCGGGCGGTGTCGTCCGGCCTTGCTGCCATCCCCCGCCCTGTCAGCGCCGGCTCCTCCTCCTCCTCCACCCGCCCCCTGTACGTGCTGCTGCTGCTGCTGCTGCTGTTACTGCTGACCCCTGTATACGCTAGCATTCTGTTGAACATCTACCCTGCTGCTGTCGTTACTCCTCCTTCCTCTTGCCCACCCCCTTCCATCATTTCCTGCCCTGCAGCTATCCGAAGGCGCCGTCACAAGCTGGTGCAGGCAGGGGCAGCGACGAGGCAGCAGCCATAGACGATCCGATTGATGCCTCCAGGCGGTTGAGATCTCTCAATAACCAACTTCCAACTTCTCTCTCCCCCACGCAGGTACCCTGAGGCCCCGTCGCAAGGTGGTGCAGGCAGGGGCAGCGATGAGGCAGCAGCCATAGACGACTCAATCGATGCTGCCAGACGTGTGCACGCCACCTCCCACGCCTCCTCCTCCTCCTCCTCGCCACCTGTCACCCTCTCCGCCTCCTCTCCGGACAGCGAGCGGCGTGATAGGAAGATCCACCTGCAAGCGGTGAGTCGCTTTTACTTGCTCTAAAGAAGAGAGTTTGAGACATCTCAAAAGACGTCGCACAGCTCCTCCTCGCCTGTCAGCCTCTCCACCTCCTCTCCTCTCCTTCAACGATTGCTGATCCCAATCCGCGCACAGCTCTTTGTGAGAAGGTTTTAAAGGCTTTAACCAATCTCTTGCTCCTCCACCCCACCTCACACCAACCCACCCCACCCATCCGCACCACCACCAGGACGCGGTGAAGGACCTGAGGGAGGCAGCCAAGGCAGCACGCAAGTCACGAGCACAGCGCCACTCTATGGGCGGTAGCATTGACTCCGGTGCCCCCTCTGATCGCCCCGGGACCGCCGAGGATGCTGGTAGTGGTGGTGCTGGTGCTGGTGGGGTGAGTGGGGGCAGTGGGATTAGCAGCAGCGGTATCCCCCTCAGTGGCAGTGGGCGGCGTAAGATTATTCGGTCCAAGAGCGACAAGGAGCTGAATGCCAGAGACAGTGAGGGGCACGCGGAGGGGGGGGCAGGGGGAGCGGGTGGCAAGGACGGGGCGAGGAGGCAGAGGTGGAAGAGCGGACAGGGTATGGACGAGGAGGGCAGCAGGGAGTTTATCAGCATGCAGGGGGAAGGGGGCGTGTGGGAGGTCTCAGATGAAGAGGATGGGCTGGGGAAAGTTAAGGGAGGGAGACGAGGAGCAGGGCGGGAGAGAGCAGAGGAAGAGGATAGCAGTGGAGAGATAGGTTCGGGAGAGGCTCGGCAGCAGCTGAAGCTGGGGCAGTCGAGCAGCACTGGTGGAGCGGGTGTGGGTGGGGGGGGAGGGAGTGGGGCGAGCAGTGGGCGGTCGATGAGTGCTGGTCTGGCGTCTCCCCCTCGGTCCCACCGGGGGTCGCGCTCCCAGCAGCAGTCTCCGGAGGGAGCGCATGGGAGGTTGAGTTTTGAGGCGCCTCAGAAGGTCTCGCGCTCGCAGCAACAGTCACCGGAAGGAGCGCACGGGAGGGCGAGTGGGGGGAGGTCTGGTGGGGAGAACTTCCTGGTTGGGTCTTCAGGGGAGGAGGGCGGGGCGGATCAAGAGGATGAGAGAAACGGCACGCCCGCTGGGAGGAAGGCGAGGCGGAGATCACAAGATGGGGACGGGACCGGGGCGGAGGGAGGAGGAGCGGGAAAGAAGGGGGCGGGGAAGAAGAAGGAGCAGCGGCGCAGCGGGCCTCTGTCAGCCCCTACGGGCAAGTCAGGAAAGGGCGCGGGGAAGAAGCGAGGCTCACAGCAGCAGCAGGCACAGCAAGACGATGACTGCAACAACGACAACAGTGGTAAAATTGTCCCGGGCAGCAGCAGCCTTCTCGCACCGCACACGCCTCCACAGCCCATCCCACGCCCCCTTTCCACATTCATCGAGACAGAGGAGGAGCGGTCTCTCTCCTCCCTCACAGCCATGTTCTCGCCTCTGGCGGGATCACCACAGGTGGCGGGCGGGAGCAGGAGCCTGGCGGGCGTGCTGAGGGAGAGGCTTGTGAGAGGGATGCACCGTGTGGCTGTGAAGGCAGAGCGCGAGGGGAGTGACCTGTTTGCGGGTGTTGAGGGGCTGGATGCGGTTGGGAGCGGTGCGGAGAGGGGAGAGGAGGAGGGTGGGGCTGTGGGTGTTGTTGGTGGAGTTGGGGTGGTTGGGGAGTTTGATTCAGCGGTCTATGGAGGGGCAGCAGGTGGAGGGGCAGAGCGCAAATCGAGCCTGCGGCCAGAGTTGCTCAACCAGAAGGTATGCTGCTGTGATGCCATCTCCCCTCATGTTTCGCCAGGCATCAGATCAGAGGCAGCGAGGCTGTTGAGCCAGCGTGAAGCCACTCCTGCTGGAAGGGCGTTGCTTCAGAGTTCTCCGTTCTCCCTCCTTTCCCCTTCTCTGTCCCCTTTCTTTCCCCCGTTGCCAGGTATCAGAAGCAGCGGGGCTGCTGAGCCAGCTGAAGCCGTCGCAGGGCGAGGAGGCGATAGAGGTGGCGAGCAGCAGGCTGGCGGGGCTGGTGGGGGAGTACCCCGAGGTCAAGGGCGAGCTCGTGGCGACCCATGCCGTGCTGCCACTGCTCGATGTGTTCGATGCTGACAGCCCCCGGGTGAGTGGGTTGGGTGCGGGCATGTGAGGGAACAAGGTTGGGGAAGGCCGGAGGTAGCGAGCAGCAGGCTGACGGGGTTTGCGCTGGGAGTACCCCGAGGTTGAAATCAATTGTTACGTCGACATGAATTTTCTCAAAAGTGACTTGTTATGTTTCTCAAAAGTCACGTCTGACGGGGTTTGTGCGGAGGGGATTACCCCGAGGTGAAATCAATTGTTACGCTCATGACATGTTGTTGTCCTTCCCGATGCCTTCTTTTCCCTGACTGCAGATAGTGCTGGCAGTGCTGGGGCTGCTGCAGCAGCTCATCACCGACAGCCCTGCCATCCAAAGCCTGCTCTGCAATGCTGGCCTCGTGAGTAACCTTTTTTTGAGGCCCCTTAAAAACCACCCTTGAGAAACCCAAACTCAAAAGTGATTCTCTGCAATGCTGGCTGGCCTCGTGAGTAACCCAACCCAACCTTGTGCCGCCGAGCTGCTACTGTCTGTCTGTCTACATGCGCATGTGGTGCTTGTTCTTTTTTTGGTGCGAGGAAACGTGTCTGAGTCTGTTTTTGTGGCATTCGATTGAAATCACGCCGGATAGATATGAATGTTTGTACGGCGCACGCATGTGTTGGTGTGAGTCCCTTTGCGTAACAAAATGCCGCCTGCCTACTTCCTTCCTTCCCTCAATCACTCCCGTTTCGCTTTCCTGAATTTCCTTCTTCCCCCTTTCCCCCTCCCCCCGCCCTCTCCTCTCCCCCCATCACCCCTCTTCTTTTCGCTTCCCCTCTCCTTCCCTTCCCCCGCACCACAGGTGCCGACGCTGCTCAACTTCTCCTCACCGGGTCGCTGCTCGCTAGACATGCGCCATCAGGCAGGCCTTGTGCTGCGCCACCTCTGCCACTCCAGGTACTTGTGCTGCGCCGCCTCTGCCACTCCAGGTACGAGAGAGAGAGTTGCCATCTGTCCGCGGCCACCTGTGCCCACTTTTGAGTCGACTCAAAAGCGGGCCTTGTGCTGCGCCACCTCTGCCACTCCAGGTACTTGTGCTGTGCCACCTCTGCCACTCCAGGTACTTGTGCTGCGCCGCCTCTGCCACTCCAGGTACGAGAGAGAGAGTTGCCCTCTGTCCGCGGCCACCTGTGCCCGCTTTTGAGTCGACTCAAAAGCGGGCCTTGTGCTGCGCCACCTCTGCCACTCCAGGTACTTGTGCTGCGCCGCCTCTGCCACTCCAGGTACTTGTGCTGCGCCGCCTCTGCCACTCCAGGTACGGGAGAGTGAGACAGTTGCCCTCTGGCCACGGCCACCTGTGCGCGCCCGACCATCTGTCCCCGACCACCTGTCCCCGACCATCTGTGCCCGCTGTGCCACCTGTGCCCGCTGTGCCACCTGTGCCCGCTGTGCCATCTGTGCCCGCTGTGCCACCTGTGCCCGCTGTGCCACCTGTGCCCGCTGTGCCACCTGTGCCCGCTGTGCCACCTGTGCCCGCTGTGCCACCTGTGCCACTCCAGATGCGTGTAGGTCGCTCACTGAGCTTGCCTGTTCCCGCCGACCCACTCATCTCTGCGCCTTGAACGTTTCTCTTTTTCTCCACCCTCCTGCTTGTTCCTCTTCCCTCCACAAACCCCACGATCCCACACTCCCTCCTTATCCGCCCACTCCTCCCATTCCTCTCTTGAGTCTTCTCTCCGCTCCCTCTTCTCCCCCCCCTTCTCCCATGTATTCCCCCCCCTCCAACGTGGATCTCCCTGTACCAGTCCCGACGCAGTGAGAGCGCTGCTGGCATGTCGGGGCCTGCCCACGCTCATGGCGTTTCTTGAGACCGACTACTGCAACAACCGGTGGGTTCTTCTGGGTGGCTTTCGCTCTGCTCTGCCCTGCTGTGCTCTGTCTGTAAGCTGTGCCAGGGGTTTGGTACATGACATGCCAGTGCTGACATACACACACACACCAGTGACCGGGGGGCTGTTGTGACTACTTTTGAGGCGCCTCAAAAGGGACGACTTTTGAGGCGCCTCAAAAGGGACGACTTTTGAGGCGCCTCAAAAGGGGTTTGGTACATGACATGCCAGTGCTGACATACACACACACACCAGTGACCGGGGGGCTGTTGTGCACTGCACGTTGGGCTGTACTGCTTGCTAGTAGTAGTGCTGGCAGCGTGCCTCTTGAGCCGACATTCAACTCTCTTCCCCAAACTCTTTTCCCACACCCCGGGCGTTCGTGCACATAGGGCTGGACTGTCTTGTCTGCTGGCAGTGCTGGCAGCAGCTTTTTCAAGTCGACTCAAAACCCTCTCCGCACCTCCCCCCAACCCAACCCCCCTCCCTCAGAGCGTTCGTGCACATCGGGTTGGACTGCCTGCTGGAAGTGCTGGCAGCGGGGCGCCCCACCCCGCGCACGGACATTGCGAGGCAGCTGGCGCGCATGGGGCTGCTGCACCGCCTGCTCTCCCTCCTGCACTCCGTCTCCTCCGCCCGCAACCACCCCGCTTCTGCCTCATCTGCTGGCGCTGGCGCTGGTGCTGGTGGTGCTGGTTTTGGTGGTGAGGGTGGGGGTGAGGGAGGTGGTAGGAGCAGCTGGGATGGCGGTGCGGCTGGCTCTGGTGGTGGCTCCGTGTATGGGTCAGCGGACGCATATGGCTCTGGCAACACAGGGGGGGCAGGTGCAGGAGCGGGAGGAGGGGGGGCAGCATCAGCTGCTGCTTCTCCTGCAACCTCCTCCTCAACATCGTCTGCTGCTGCTCCTGCCGCTGCCACTCCTGCTCGGCGCTCCCAGCGCCGCATCTTCGGCCTAGCGCAGTTCCGAAGCAAGGCAGCCAAGGCTGGACAGGGCGGAGGAGACTCGCAGGCACAAGGAGGGGCAACATCCTCATCAGCAGCAGCCAGAACAGGAGGAGGAGGGGGAGGAGTGGCAGGTGGTGCTGGTGGCTCTTCCAGTGGCGGAAATGGAGTGGGTGCAAGAGCAGGGGGGTATGGGACCAGTTCCGGTGACAGTGGTGGTGGTGCTGGTGCTGCTGGTGGTGGTGCTGGGTGGGGCAGTGGGTCCTCCTCTTCCACAGATACTAACACGTTCACCTCCTCCTCCTCCTCCTCATCAGCAGCAGCGGTGAAGCAGCAGCAGCTAAACCCGGCAGCGCTGGCAGCACAAGACACGCTCTACCTCACCCGCACAGCCCTCCTCCTGCTGCACCTCTGCCAGGCAGACGAGGCAGTGCGCGCGCACATGCTCGCGCCCTCCTTCCTCAAGCGCCTGCTCGACGCCCGGGAGTCTCTCCCCCCGCCCGTGCTGCTGCTGCTGCTGCGCGTGCTCCGCCAGCTGTCGGCTGATGCCGCCTCGCATGACTCGTTGCAGCGGGCCGATGCTGTCCGTGCACTCGTGCCATATATTGATGCGGGGTTCAGGGAACGGTTTGAGGTGGCGGGGAGAGGGGAGAGCCGGACGGGTGGTGGTGAGGGAGCGGTGGCGTATCCGGATTCTCTGTTCTGCGACATTCAGGCTGAGGTGAGTGGTGTGAGATTCGGGAGCTGCTGGCGCTGTACAATGTCTGCAGCGGCAGCATGCGCCTCCTGGATTGGTATACAGCAATAGACACACCCCCCCTCCCTCCCCTGAAACCCCCAACCCCGCACAATCCCCCGTCCCCTCCCCTCACCACCACCAGGCGCTGATGGCGCTGTACAATCTGTGCAGGGGCAGCAAGCGCAGGCAGGAGCTGGCAGCAGAAGCTTCCATCGTCCCCCCCCTCATGGTGCTCATCTCCTCGCGCTCGCCTCTTCTCCCCTTCGCGCTGCCACTCCTCTGCCTGCTCGCCACGGCCTCACGAGCTGCCTGCGACACGCTGCTCCACCACAACGCGCTGCCGCTGCTGCTCTCGCTCCTCGCCGCCCCGCTCACTCCCCACGCCGCCATCGCTGCCCGCCTCGCAGACAGCAGGAAGGAGGGCACTGGGGTCAAGGGGGGAGGCGGAGGAGGGGGGAGTGTCGCGGGAGGAGCAGGGGGAGCAGGGGCGCCAGGGGGAACGGGGGGTGCTGGGGGGGCCCAGGGGAGTGGGGAAGGGGCGGAGAGGATGTGGGGAGCAGCGGCGTTTGAGGCGGTGGTGGCGTGTGTGGTGAACGATGGGGAGGGGCGGCATGTGGAGCAGACGCTGCTGCGCCGCGACTCCCTGGAGGCGCTCGTGTGGTTCGTGCGCAGGGCCGCCAAGACTCCATCGTTTACAGCGCTCTTTGAGCCTCTGCTGCGCCTCGTCAGGTGAGCCCTGCGTTCTCATCTCCTCTCTCATGCTCTTTCTGACACTGACTGTGCGAATCTCTCTCTAGTGGTCTCTCCCTCGAGGCACTAGTGTGGTTCGTGCGAGGGGCTGCGAAGACTGCTTCATTCACTGTGCTCTTTGAACCGCTGCTGCGCCTCATCGCGTGAGTGGGCCATGATCCCTGCCGTGCTTGCTCCTCGAATTACGTCCTCCCTTTCCCCCTTCAACCTTGCACCCACCCTATTTTGAAATCTCTCACTCACCCCTCCTCCTTTTTTCTCGGCCTCCATTCACCCGCCACACCTGCAAGTCGCCCAGCGGGAGGGCTGTCAGCGCTGTCAGTGGGAGGGCTGGGCGACCTGCTTGTTGCTCGCTCGCCCCTTTGTAGCGCTGACAACGCTTTTCCCTTTTCCCCTGCTTCCAAACCCCCACCCCGACCCCGATCACCACCTCCCATAACAGCAAGTCGCCCACGCTGAATGCAGCGCTGTCAGTGGGCGGCCTGGGCGACCTGCTCGTGGCTCGAATGTTGGCTGCGTTGACATCCCCTTTTCCTCCCTTGTGGCACCCACCCGTCCCATCCCCCCACTCACCCGCCTCAACAGCAAGTCGCCCACACTGAATGCAGCGCTGTCGGTGGGAGGGCTGGGCGACCTGCTCGTGGCTCGCCTGGACGACCCTCAGCTGGAGCCCGCCGTGCGCCTCAACCTTCTCAAGCTGCTCAAGGTGAGGTGCTGGCGTGTGGGGTCAGACTTAACACGGGTATGGAGGAGAATAGGTCGGTGCCCTGTGCCTTCATGGCCTATGGATGGATGATAAGGACTGTACGACCCTCAGCTGCAGCCAGCTTTGCTGCCGAACCTGCTCAAGCTGCTCAAGATGGGCTGACGTGGAGGTCAAGAGAGTGTGTGTATGGGCGTGGAGTGTATATGTTGATGCCTTGTGCAGCACAAGAAGCAGCAAGAGTAGCAAAAGCAGCAAAAGCAGCAAAAGCAGCAAAAGTAACTTTAGGAGTATACAGCTGGAGCCTGCAGTTCGGCTCAGGGTGCTCAGGCTTCTCAAGGTGAGCTCGCGATACATGGTGGATTGAGTCGTGCTGCTGAGCAGCACCTCACCCCAAGTTGCTGCTGTGTGTGTGCAGTCAAAAAAGTCTTGCACTGTCACCATTCTATTCCCTCGATTCCCCCTTTTTCTACCCTGCCCATTCAAACGCCAGAGCCAGCACCTGTACCCCAAGGGGCTATGTGTTCACCATCATACCACCACTCACAAGCAACTCCCGTGATTTTCCTCTCTCCACTTCTTCTAACCCCAGGCGGTGTACGAGCAGCACCCATACCCCAAGGGGCTGTGTGTTCCAGACGAGCTGCCGGGGAAGCTGCAGCGGCTGACGGAGGAGCGGCGCATTGCGGGCGGGCAGCAGGTGCTCGTCAGACAAATGGCGTCGGCGCTGCTCAAAGGGCTGCACTTCGGCCCGCCCAGATAGATTCAACCGACGAACCACAAGCAGACGGCGGCCACAAGCAGACGGCGGCTGACGGAGTAGTGGTGTGGCAGCAGGTGCTGGTGAGACAGATGGCGCCCATGCTGCTCAAAGGGCTGCACTTCGGCCCGCCCAGATAATCGGCTGGGGGTGAGGGGAAGCTGTGGTGGAAATGAGTGGAGAAATCACTTCACTGCAATCGACAGATGGTTTACTTCAGAGTGCAGCAGTGCAGCGATGCGTGCGCGGCGAGTGTGACTGCAAGATGGTCCCATCCCAGCAGTCGTCTCGTCGCCTTCGTGGTTGGAAGGGCAGCAGCAGCAGCACCCCACTCTGCAAAGCAGCGGTAGCAACACGCCATGGTCATCTGTAAAGCAAAGCTGGGGTCATTCTTGGTGTACGGTATTTATTGCGCTCTGCAGTTCGCGGGCAGCTGCAATGGTGGAACAGGCATCGCTGGGAGTTAATGTTGTCAGCAACTGCAAAAGAAATCGTTCAGGACAGAAGCCAACAGAGTATGAGTCGATTGATTGCGAGGTGCAGTGCTAACAGCATCCTCCACATCATAATAATACACCATTCTCAACCGAATATAAGCATAAAAAGCAATGCTTTTGAATTGATCACTAATGTCATGCATCTGTTGCAGGTTCTGGATAAATGCTGCTCTACGTCGGAAGCTTCATCGAAACTGACTCAACGCTAGTGCAGTACATGTGCACTATCCAAACAGCAACAGCATAAACATCAAGATGGAACCAAGTTGATTTGAGCACCCTTGCCCTTCACATACCCCTGTCTGCTGCCCGTGCACCGCCTCTCTCTCCCACAGAATCTACATGCACTCATCACCCTGTTCCTGTGCAGAACCCCACTCACCACCTCCCCTCGCCCTCCTGCCTCCCCTTGCTTCCCCTCCGCTCTCTGCCCTCCCTCCTGCGCCACCCGACTCTTCTTCTCCTGCTCCTCTCCTCCCTTCATCACTTGTCCTCGGCCTCTCGCCTTCCTTCGCCTCTTTCTGCCCCCCTTCCTTCTCTCTCCTGTTTCTTTTCTAGCCGATCCACCTGCTGTAGCAACTCCACCAGCGGCTGTTGCGGCAGCCGTAGCAGCAGCAACTGAAGCAGCAGCAGCAGTAGCAGCAGCTGCATCAGTGGAAGCACCTTCACCTTCCACGTGGTTGCATGTGGCGCTTCTCCGGGTCGCCTCAGACGCTACAGTGGCGGCTGGGGCGGCAGCATCTGCGCCGTCTGCACCTGCAGAGGAAGGATCTACGGCGGTTCCTCTAGCATTCCCACAGGTAACCGCAACTGGGGAAGCTACCAGCCTGGTAGCTTTGCCACTGCTCCTTGAATTGGTACTCTGTGATGTCTGTGATGTCTGCGATGTCTGTGATGTCTTTGATGTCTTTGATGTCTTTGATTTCTTTGCACTCCGAGATGAATTTCCTGTGCGCGGGTACGATGCGATGGAGAGGGTGCACGTGGAAGGCAGGATCTGGGGAAGGCCGCATCTGATGCAGGGAATTTGCACGAAGCAGGGATGGGGGGAGGGGAGGGGGGGGGGGGGGGGGGGGGGGGGGGGGGGTGAGGGAGGGGTGGTGAAAAGAAAGGTATGTTTTTTTCTCTCGCTTTTCACATGTCCCAGAAAAGGAAATCTAACGGAGGATCTACTGCAGGAGGTTTTGGCCATTGGGGATGGAGGGGAGGATAATTTTTGGTGGAGAAGAGAGGATATACAGCAGCACTCACCCCGCGCACAGCACACTCCCGTCAATCGCCATTGCCTTGGAAACAGACTGTCCGCTGCCACCACCTTCGCCGCTGCTGCCGCCGCCACCCCCTCCTCTTCCCCCTTCCGCTGGCGTCAGCAGCTGCACGCACCGCCCGAGGTGGGCGGCAACGGGCGGCGAACTGACGGCGAGCGACTCCGCGGCTCGCCGAAGAAACTCGCGGCGGAGGTCGAGCGGGGTGGCGGAAGCGCCGTGCGAGGAGGTGGCGGCGGAACGAGCGCGCGGCTGGCTCATTGCGGCTGCCGCTTGTAAACCCGCTGGCGAGATTTTCGGCGGTGCCGTGAGGTATGCAAAATAGATTGTTATGGTACTCAAACAAAGAGTGTGTACGCGAGAGAAATGCACTTAGCGAAAGTGATTAACGAGGTCCGCTTCGTTGAGGTCTGTGGGGGAAGTGTGGTTGCACCGATTGGTTTCCGAAACGAAAATATGTGGTTCGTCGTCATCCAATCGCTGGATTCGGGTTACCCCTCGCAAGCTTGTTGATAATCCAACCAAACAGAAACTCAGGGAGTGTCAGAAGAGTTCACTCGGCTACGGTAATTCCTGGTGATTGACGTTCGAGAAAGGCCTGTTTAGTATTTTGGGCTGTCGAGTAGGGTTATGAGGGGAATGGAAATTCTACATCACGCAGCGCAGCTTGCTTTCCGTTCCCGCGGACACCCCTTCGTCCATTCATGGCTGCTGCATGTATGCTGCGGTGCTGCACCATGCAGCCGCAATACCAGTTCCCAATGTCGGTCGAATCACTCTGTCGCGTCTATAATCGATTCCCCTATGTCGACTTCTGTGACGCGCGTCGTCGGCCCGGCATGTGCGACCGCAGACCCGCTGCTGCCGCTGGCGACCCTGCAGCTGCAGTGGTCACGGATATATCCGCGAGACCACGAAATCCCTATGCGACGCGCACCAATGGGTCGCAGCGTGCAGCAGATCCGTCCCATATGGTTTTTTAGTCTCAAGCCAATCCCCGAGTACCGACAGTCAGTCACGGCGGCGTGGCTGTCGCCTCTTCATAAGCTCAAACGTCCTGCTGTGCCCGTGTCCCCATCGCAAGCTCATGTCGCTCGCTCTCACGGAATAGATTCATCCGGCTTGAAACGACAGCCTTCAATCCTTCATTCCAGAGCTGCAAATCTTCACACGACGGTGTGCGGAATTCTTCACGGCCGCAAATCTCTCCAGCGAGTTTGTAGGCTGTTGCTGTTGCTGTTGCTGCTCGAGCGATGGACGTCGACCCTTCCCCTCAGGCGGAAAAGACGACCAAGGTGAACGCTGACGTGGAGAAGAGCGTCCACGTGGAGTGCGGGCTGTGCGCCGTGCTCACTCCCCTCGCGCGCTGCCTGGACCTCCCCCACTGCACGTGCCTGCTCTGCCTCCCCTGCGCGCGCGGATCCTTCCGCCCGCAGCTGGAGCATCTCAAAGCGCAGCTGGTGAAGGGAACTCGTCATCAACTTTTCTCTGCTCATTCTCCTAGGAATTCACCTGGGAATTCTCCTGGGAATAATCCTGGGATTTCTCATGGGGAAGATTTCATGGCCTGCCCGTGCTGCATTCAGCCAGTACCAGCTCTCCACATGCAGACCCTCCTGCCCGAAGAATTTTGGCAGTGGGAGGAAACGGCAACTTCGGTTGCCCTAGCCCGTTTTTTTGGGGGAGATGAATTTGTTATCTGCCCGGGATGCCATGTCCTTGTGGAAAAACTGCCCGCAAAGGCAGCAGATCCAGAGGCTGCAGAGGCAGCAGCTGTAGCCGCAGCTGCAGACGCAGCGGCAGCTGTAGCAGAGGCAGCGGCAGCAGAGGCAGCAGCAGAATCAGCAGCGGAAGATGCAGCAGATGCAGCAGCAGCATCGGCAGCAGAAGCAGCGGAAGCAGCAGCAGATGCTGCAGACGCTGCAGAAGCAGCAGCAGCTGCGGATACAGCAGAGGTAGCAGAGGCAGCAGCAGCAGCGAAGGCAGCAGCAGAAGCAGCACAGGCAGCAGCAGCAGTACAAGCCGCAGAGGCAGCCGAAGCAGCAGCAGCAGCGGAGACAGCAAAAGAAACAGCAGCAAAAGCAGTGGAAAAAGCAGCAGCATCAGAAGCTGCAGCAAAGGCAGCAGCCGCAGCAGCAGCTGCGGCGAGAGCCGAAGAAAGAGACGAGGAAGGCCGGCCGCTAACCCCAGAAATGGTAATCCATAAACTGAACAACAGATACCGATGCGGGGAGTGTGGGGTGGTCTTTTGTGGGTCGTGCCGCGAGCACCCATATCACCTCGGGATCTCCTGTGCAGCGCATGCTGTGCGGCTTGCTGCCCCCAAGTGCCGCTTCTGTGGGGAACGGGTCGAATGGGGTGGGATGGACCTGGACTGGAATGAGGAGGCTGGAGAGGAGGAGGAGAGAGGTGATGGTGTTGGTGAAGGTAGGAAGAAGGATGGAGAAGACGCTGCTAAGCGGCTCGCGGAGCTGGTTGCATTCCATGGTGACACGATTACAAGCAGCAACAGCGGCGGTGGTGGCGGCAGCAGCGGCCAGGCTCCTCAAGACACGAGCAACTGGAGTTGGAACGAGGGAGAGATGAGGGAGCTTCTTGCAGCAGTAGGCGTAGACACGAGCTGGTGCGTGAGCAAAGCCAACCTGGCAGCAGTGGCAGCTGCAGCAGTCTGTGTGTGTGGCGAGGAGCAATGCAGGGAGCGGCTGAGGGACGCATGCATGCGGGTTGGTCCGTGTGGGCACGCGTGTGGGGGAGTGAGAGGGGAGGTGGACTGCCTACCATGCCTGCATGATGCCTGTGTGGAGGAGAGAGATGCAGCTGCTGCTGCCGCTCCCTCTGCTGCTGCTGCAACAGCCGCCACTGGTTCTGGCGCTGGTGCTTTTGGTGGTGCTGCTGCTCCCGGTTCTGTTGCTGCTGCTGCAGCTGCTGCTGCTGCTGCTGCTGCTGCTGCTGCTGCCGCCCCTTGCCCCATGCCGCCCCTCCCCTGTGCCAGCGACTTTTGTCCCATCTGCTGGGTGGAGCCGATCGCCGCCGCCCCAGCCATCCGGCTGTTGTCCTGTGGCCACGTGGTGCATGCAGCATGCGCGAGGGAGAAGATTTGCCAATCATTTCCTGGTCCTGAGATCTCCTTCGGTTTCCTATCTTGCCCGCTCTGCCCTGATACGACGATGGATCATCCTGCGCTCCAGACAGAGCTTGCCGCCCCGCTGGCTCTGAAGCAGCAAGTGGAGAGATTAGCGGAGGAGAGAGTGAAAGCTGGAGAGGGGCTTGGGGATGGGGAAGAGGAAAATGGGAATGGCGGTTTAGGGAACAATGTGTTGGCGCGGGCGCTGCGTCGGTTGCTGTTCTTCCTCTGCTCGCGCTGCCACCGCCCGTACTTTGGTGGGGATCGTAGGTGCGGTGCCGGACCTGCTGCTGCCGAGCCTGAGAATGTGGATGGGGAGGAGGGGGAGGGAGAGGAGATGGAGGAAGGCGAGAGAGAGGGAGGGGGGGTCGAACGAGCAGGGGAAGTGGGTGGGCAGGGTCAGCGAGAAAATGAGCTGGTGTGTGGTGAATGCTTGGCAGTTGAAGCAGCTGCAAAGCAAAAGGCAGCAGCAGAAGCAGCAGCGGCAGCAGCAGCAGCGGCGGAGGAGGAGAGAGAAAGGAGGGAGCGGCTGTGGGAAGCAGGCAAGCCGTGCAGCAGCAACCATGGGCAAGAGGCCGTGCAGTACAAGTGCCAATTCTGCTGCTCGGTCGCCACTTACTTCTGTAACGGCACCACACACTACTGTGCAGAGTGCCACCAGACCCTCCCGAATTACAGAAGCTCCTCGTACGTTGCACCGCGCTGCACCGGGGGGGACCAGTGCCCGTTGCGTGTGGCGTGGCACCCGCAAGCTCCTGAGGAGTTCTGCCTCGGGTGTGGCTTGTGCAGGCCGTAGGGCCACCGGGATTATCAGTCATCCTGTGTCTGGATTGACATGCACATCAGACAGACACACTATGGGAAAGGGGTGAGTTTTGAGACGTCTCAGAACTCATAGGGCCACCGAGATTATCAGTCACCCTGTGTGTGGATTACCATGCACATTAGAGGGATACACTGAGGGAAAGGGGTGGCAAGGCAAGTGTGAGGAGGAAGTGACCCCAAGCCAACTGCTGCATGGGAGGGGTGTGGATGTGTAATGAGAGTGGGGATGGGGGCAGCATCTTTTATTGCTTGCACAGTTTTCTGTTTGTGTCTGCTGAGTGGTTTTTGTGTCACCCCTAGAAAGAGTCATTGCTAGATTGAGAAAGGTACGGTACCACGAAGTAAGGAGCTGGTTGCGGGAAATACCTAAACGAGCGCTGTGGGGACCACCAAAACGGTGGTCTGTGCCAGCCGGGAATCGAACCCGGGTCTGCACCGTGCTGACGTGGCAGGGTGCTATTCTACCACTAGACCACTGGCACTCAATTGGATGACAGCTGTCAATCCAGGTTTTGTATGACAAGTATTTACTTTTATTGGCGACGAATGCCCTGAGCTTGCCTTCGAGGCAATCATGCAGACACCAGCAACTACCGCCAAAGGCGGCAAGGGCGGGAAAGGAGGGAAAGGGGGAAAGGGAGGCAAGGGGGGGAAACGCAGCGGCCGGCACGGGGCATCGGCGAGCAAGCAGCCGTCGATTCAGGCGAAGCGGGAGCAGCAGCTGCAGCAGCAACAGTCAGATCAGCAGTTGGCGCAAACTCCGCAGAAAGCTCTCTCCGCGCACGCCGCGCAGCCTCTAGATCCTGCGCGGATCACTTCCGCCGCATCTCCGCTCTCCGCTTCCGCAAACGCCGCCGTCAAAAGCGAACATGGGTCCGCGCCTGTTGTCGCTGGCGGAACCTTCGGGGGAGGCGCAGCAGCGTTGGGGGCAGCGCCGGGCGCGGAGCGGCCGGCTGCGGGGGGAGCGGCGGTGGCGGGGGAAGGGGTAGGATTGGCGGGTCCGCTGGAAGTGGGCGCGCGGGTGAGCGCGCGGTGGCGCGACGGGAAGATGCACCCCGCGAAGATCATCGAACGGCGGAAAGCGGCGGGGGGCGCGGACGAATACGAGTACTACGTGCACTATACCGAGTGTGAGTGATGTGAGCGAGCTTCGTTTGTGATTGCGCACTATCAATCAAGTTTCTCAGGGGTGGCGGGGGGCGGGGTCGAATACGAGGACTACGTGCACTATAAGAACGTGAGTATCTGTGATGTGCCGGTGTGGGGTGATGGATGTGATACGAGAGTAGACTCAAAAGTTACCACCGAAGAGCACCCCGTTCCCTGGAGAGCACCCCGTTCCCTGGAGAGCACCCCGTTCCCTGGACAGCACCCCGTTCCCCGGACAGCACCCCGTTCCCTGGAGGTGATGGACTTGCCTTGCGCTTGAAAGTGGCGTTCCCCTTCCTCCGTTCTCCCGCGCATGACCTTCCTCCAAACCCAGCTTAGTCACTTCTGGGATTCCCTTTGTGTACCTCCTACCCCTTCTCCCAATCCCCTCCCCCCCCCCCTCTCCCCTCTTCCCGTACTCTTTTCCCTTCCTCATTTCCACCCTTGCTTGCTCTGATCCCCCATTGTTTCCCCGCTCCTTCTCCCTTCTGTCCTTGGTGCTGATTGGCTGACGAGTGCGGAGCAGTCAACCGGCGATTGGACGAGTGGATCCCGGTGAGCAGCATTGACCAATCGTCTGTCAATACGGCGTGTGAAGAGAAGGCTGAGGAGAAGGTGAGTGGGGAGAAGGTACAAATTAAGTGCTACGCCTGGATTATTCTAAGGCTGTTTTTGAGTTGACTAAGAAACAGATTCATCACACAAGGTACACTTCAAATGCTATGCCTGGATTACTCTAAGACTGTTTTTGAGTCGACTACAAAACAGACTCGTCACACAAGGTACACATTAAATGCTATGCCTGGATTACTCTAAGGACGCGTCCCCTCCCTCGATCGATCGTGGAAAATCGAGGAAGATCGATCCTCCACCGCACTAAAAACCTGCGTTCTCCATTTTTTAATGTTTGAACCTTTTTAAACCGAGCTCAGGATCGATCCTACGCAGGATCCATCGAGGGAGGGGACGCGTCTAAAGACCGTTTTTGAGTCGACCAAAAAACAGACTCATCACACAAGGTACACATTAAATGCTATGCCTGGATTACTCAGGGCGTATTCCTGGCTTCGGGTCATCCGGGCTTCGGGTCATCCCGAATTAATTTCCCCGAACTGCGGGACTTCCGACTCGAGCTTCGGGTTGTCCGATTCGAGACGTTGCGAGCTTCGGCGATAGGGTGCTCGAAACTTAGTTTGGCCCGAGTAAAAATGTTGTAAAGCTGATGTGCGACATTTCCGATTGCGCGACTAAATTCATTCAATTTGTACAGCAACATTGAACATTGAAGTTAAGAAAACTGTCGCGCCAATATCGCAGTTGCTCGCCAGCTAGATCTGGCGATTGCATCTTAAAGTGACGAGAGTAGAGAGTAACGAATTAGGGTTTCCAATTAAATTTCTTCCAGAACAATTCGCCGTCAGATTTGGCGTGTTGACCCGAGCTGCTGTATTACAGCTCGTGTCTTCCCATAACTTCGGATGACTCAAAGAGCGGATGACCCGAAGCCAGGAATACGCCCTCATCACACAAGGTGCACATTAAATGCTATGTCTGGATTACTTTAAGACTGTTTTTGAGTCGACTAAAAAACAGACTCATCACACAAGGTACACATTAAATGCAAAGCCTGGTTTACTCTAAGACTGTTTCAGTGTACCAGCTTTGTTCCACCGTCATCATTTCAAAAAGTCATATGCATTGTTCCTGTCCCTTTCCTACACCTGTTCGTTGCTGCCTGCCCCTTCCCTTTCTCCTCTTCTTACCCTCACCTCCTGACCAATCCATCCCGTCTCCCTCTCCTCTCCCCTCCTCCCCGTCACTCAACTGCCGGCCTGCCCCTTTTCCTGCCACGTCAGCATGGCAGCGGAGTGAAGATGACACGTCATCAGAAGAGGAAGATAGACGAGCTACACATAGAAGAGGTGAGTACTTTCCGTAATGCTGAAATCACTCTTGAGAATTCTCAAAAGTGGTAGACGAGCTGCACATCAAAGAGGTGAGTACTAGTCGTTGCTTCGCAGGTTTGTTTTGGACAAAATCTCAAATGTGCCCTGTACGTGACGTGACGCAGCAACCTGAGTAACGCACTTGCGTGCACAGCACAGCACAGCACACACAGGGTCATGAGGAGAGGAGTCTGGGGGTGCACGAGGAGTTCACCAAGGTGCAGAACGGTGGCCATCAATGCAACCCTTGCCCACCCTTCCCCACCTTTACACACGCACATGCAGGGCAAGGGTTGCGTTGCGTCCCCAATCAAGGCCCTTCTCCCCCCATCTTTACCACCCTAACACACACACACACACACACACACACACACACCCACACACACACACACACACACACAGGGCCATGAGGATTTCGATGCTGCAAGCTTGCGAGAGCACGAGGAGTTCACAAAGGTGAAGAACGTGCCGGTGATAGAGCTGGGGCGGTACGAGATGGACGCAATAGGGGCCCACAAGGCAATGAGTTTCCCGCCATGTTCCTCCTTACACAACCCCGCCGCACCGCAGGGCCATGAGGACTTTGACACGGCTAGCTGAATGGAGCCCGAGGAGTTCACCAAGGTGAAGAATGTGTTGAGAACCCAACCCCCCTCCTCACATCATCCCACACACACCCACGCACGCACGCACGCACGCACGCACGCACGCACGCACGCACGCACCCACGCACGCACGCACGCACGCACGCACCCACGCACGCACGCACGCACCCACGCACCCACGCACGCACGCACGCACCCACCCACACACCCACCCACGCACGCACGCACCCACATCATCCCACGCACGCACGGACAGGGACATGAAGACTTTGACGCGGCGAGTCTAAGGGAGCACGAGGAGTTCACCAAGGTGAAGAACGTGGCGGTGATAGAGCTGGGGCGGTACGAGATGGACACGTGGTACTTCTCGCCCTTCCCCCCCGAGTACGCGCACTGCTCCAAGCTCTTCTTCTGCGAGTTCTGCCTCGCGTTTCTCAAACGCCCCTCGCAGCTCGAAAGGCACATGGTGAGTGGGTGGGTGCGGGTTGTGTTCCCTCTGGCGTGGTCTGCTCTGCTGTCTTCTGTGGTGCTCTGTGCTGCTCTGGGTCTGGGGTGCTGGTAGGGTGCAAGCGCTACTCAAGCCTAGGGTCCCCCGAGTACGCGCACTGCACTGCTCCAAGCTCACCTGTTTACCTTTGACTGCTCCAAGCTCTTCTTCTGCGAGTTCTGCCTCGCCTTCCTCAAACGCCCCTCGCAGCTCGAGAGGCACATGGTGAGTGGTAGTGTCGTTGCTTGCTGTCGTTTTTGAGGCGCCTCAAAAACGACCTCGAGAGGCACATGGTGAGTGGTACTGTCACTTGTGAGAATTCTCAAAAGTGCTTGCTCTGCGCGGCTCGGTTAGTCATTCCTCTTTTTTTTTTTTTTTTTTTTTTTTTTTTTTTTTTTTCTTTCCCCCCCCGTTTCCGCTTCGCTTATGTGTGTATGTGTTGTTTTCTATTGATCTGTGCACCGTCCCTTCACGTCACGTGTGTCTCTGCAGCGCAAGTGCGACCTCAAGCACCCACCGGGGGATGAGATTTACCGCAACGGCTCCCTCTCCATGTTCGAGGTAACAACTGGTGCAATAGGCAGTCAACATCCGTGCAGATAACACCTGGTTTTAGTGACACTTGGTGTAGGTAATACTTGGTCTGGTTATTACCTGATGTGTAACATCCCTGTTCGGACTTGCCCATTTAGGCTGATTGCGTGTCTGCGTCGCACCCGCACCGCATGGTTCTGCCCTCATCCCATTGCAGGTGGACGGCAAGCGCAACAAGGTGTACTGTCAGAACCTCTGCTACCTGGCGAAGCTATTCCTGGACCACAAGACCCTTTACTACGACGTCGACCTCTTCCTCTTCTACATCCTCTGCGAGTGCGACGAGCGCGGCTGCCACATTGTCGGCTACTTCTCCAAGGTACGCACTCGCCTTTGCATCCTGTGTTATTGGCGCTCTTGTTACTTTCTGGCCCACAAGCCAAGCCAAGGCGCATTCTATGATGTGGACCTCTTCCTCTTCTCTTCTACATCCTCTGCGAGTGCGACGAGCACGGCTGCCATATTGTTGGTTATTTCTCCAAGGTGCGTTGCAATGCATGCTCCAAGGTACTCACTCGGCTATTCCTGGACCACAAGACCCTTAACTACGACGTCGACCTCTTCCTCTTTTACATCCTCTGCGAGTGCGATGAGCGGGGCTGCCATATTGTGGGGTACTTCTCCAAGGTACGCTGCAATGCAATGCATGTGCGAGGGGGGTCGACTGGACGCTTCCACTCTCCGACCTTGCTCTTTCCCCTTTTATCTTGGTCATATCCAAAAGAAGACGGTCGGAGAGTGGAAGCATCTTCTTTTGCATACGACCAATCTCGCTCTCCCCTCTTATCTTCCTTCTGATCCCAATCTTTCTCCCTCTTCCCGCCTTGGCACACCAGGAGAAGCAGTCAGAGGAGGGGTACAACCTGGCCTGCATCCTCACCCTCCGCTCTTGGTTCCCCTTATCCCCCTCATCCCCCTCATCCCCCTCTCTCCGCCTGCCTGCCTCAATCCTGGTGCCCTGCAGGAGAAGCAGTCAGAGGAGGGGTACAACCTGGCCTGCATCCTCACCCTCCGCTCTTGGTTCCCCTCATCCCCCTCATCCCCCTCTCTCTACCTGCCTGCCTCAATCTCAATCCTCTACAGGAGAAGCAGTCAGAGGAGGGGTACAACCTGGCCTGCATCCTCACGCTGCCGCCCTACCAGCGCAAGGGATACGGCAAATTCCTCATCGCCTTCTGTAAGCCAGCTCAACCACCCGTGTCCGTGCAGTTTTGCCTTCAGATTTCGATTTTTAAGTCGACTTAAAAATCGACTCATCACCCATGTGCGTACAGTTTTGCCTTCAGATTTCTTTTCACGTTTTGTTTTTCAAGGCACCTGCGAGTTGTGGCACGCACTTGTCAAGAGCTGGGTGGGTGGAGCCTTTGAGACTTTTGAGTCGACTCAAAAGTCAACTGGGTGGGTGGAGCCTTTGAGACGTCTCAAAAACACCCTCTCTAGTCGTGCATTGCAAGAGCTGGGTGGGTGGAGCCTTTGAGACGTCCACGTCTCAAAAACCACAAGGTGACTTTTGAGTCGACTCAAAAGTCACCTCGTTACTATGGCACACGACGAATTCTCAAAAAGCACAAGTTGTCAAGAGCTGGGTGGAGTCTTTGAGACGTCTCAAAAACACCCTCTCTAGTCGTGCAATGCATTCCCCTCGTCCTTACCCCTTCCTATCCCAGTATATGAACTCCCAAAGGAAGGTTACTGACTCCACTTCCCTCCTCTCCCCCCACATCCGCTCTCTCCACTCTTCCCATACGAATATCTACGAAACAGACACCATTCCCCTCTACAACCCTTCCCTTGCCCCGCCACTCTCTCCTCTCCTTTCCCCCAGCATATGAACTCTCCAAGAAAGAGGGCAAAGCAGGCACACCAGAACGCCCCTTATCTGCTCTTCGCCTCCTAAGCCATTACCGTGGTGTCATACAACACTAAACGCCCCTTCTGCTCTTCGCCTCCTAAGCCATTACCGTGGTGTCATACAACACTAAACGCCCCTTCTGCTCTTCGCCTCCTAAGCCATTACCGTGGTGTCATACAACACTAAACGCCCCTTCTGCTCTTCGCCTCCTAAGCCATTACCGTGGTGTCATACAACACTAAACGCCCCTTATCTGCTCTTCGCCTCCTGAGCTACCGCGGGTACTGGCTGCGCGTGCTGCTGCGCATCCTCAAGCACCACCGCGGCAGCCTGCCATTAAAAAAAGCTGAGCGACATGACAGGCAACAAGACAGGCTTACTTAGTCCCCTTCCCTCCCACATCCCCTCCCCCTATACCTGTGCCTTCCCTCCCCCTTCCCCACCCGTGCCTCCCCCCATCCCTGTCCCCACCACAAGCCTACGAGCTTTCGAAAAAAGAGGGTAAAGTCGGAACACCCGAGCGCCCTCTCTCCGACCTGGGTTTGCTGAGCTACCGCGGGTACTGGCTGCGGGTGCTGCTGCGCATTCTGAAGCACCACCGCGGGAACCTGTCGATCAAGGAGCTGAGCGACATGACGGGCATCAAGACAGAGGACGTCATCTCCTCGCTGCAGTCGCTGCACCTCATCCAGTACCGCCGCGGGCAGCATGTCATCTGTGCTGACCCCAAGGTGCTGGACCGACACCTGAAAGCGGTGGGAAAGCCGGGGCTGGAAGTTGACGTTTCGAAGCTGATTTGGACGCCGTACAGGGAGCAGGGGGGGTGAGTGGTACATGGGTGTGTGTGTGTGGGTGTGTGGTCGGGTGCGTGTGTGAGGGGGGTGCAGGGGGGAGGGAAAGGATCTTCGGGAGTGTTTCTCAGTGGTTCATGTTGGATTGGAGTGTGTCCTGTGTAAATACTGTATTGTGTAGTATATATATGAAAGACCTACAGGGTTAATGATAAGGCCCTTCTGGATTCTGTTTGTCTTGATACAAGGCCTGTGCATAGTGATTGTTCGGATAATGGGCACTTGATGATCAAGAGTCTGTACTGATTGCTGCTACGGTAGTAGGAAATTGTTGGGCTGAGATAGCCCCTTAGGATCTTTGCAAGGGATAACTCTAGGTGAAGTAGTTGTAATAGCGGAAGCGTTTAGTGAAGAATTTGAACCGACCTTGCACTGGTGTGTGAGAGCAAAGTTGATTGAATTAAACAAGCAAATACAAGGATTTATATAAGAGTACAGGGAATAGATAACTGTATTGCTGTTGCGGTTCGATATAGCGCGACTCGGGCAACTGCTCTGTAACGAGTCAGTTGTGTGTCCTTAACTGTCGCGCTGTAATTGTCGAGTCAAAGGTCAGCGACCTTTGACTTTCTCGTAACCTCCAGGCGGTTACCCTAACCTCCGAGGTTGACTCGATGCTTCGATTGGGACTGCTTCGCTTGGTACCTTGGATTTTGATACGACAGAAGCGCACTTAGGACTTATTGTTTCCAACACTCCCCTTCGCTTCTGGAGTGTTACTGCTGGTGACGTGGCCTTGTCCAGTCAGCATCATGCAGTATTCGAACTTCTGCTTGCCGAGTTTCTTGGTCAAGTAATCGGCTGCCATCTCGGATGTTGGACAGTATGACAGATCGAGTTTCCCTTTTTCTATCTCGTCCTTCACGAAGAAATAGCGCAGGGCGATGTGTTTCGTCCTGTTTGCGAAGCCGTTTTTGTTGGCGATGCGAATTGCTGACTGGTTGTCGCAGAACACGGTGAAGCTGGGTAACTCGGCTAGCTTCGCTTCTTCCAGTAGTTCGCGAAGGTAAAGTCCCTCCTTGGTGGCTGAGCAGAGTGCAATATATTCTGCTTCTGCTGAAGATAGTGCGATTAACTCCTGCTTGCTCGACTGCCAGGAGATAGGACCGATAGGCTCAAGGCGGTAGACATAGCCGGTGCGTGAGCGCCTGTTGTCGGTGTCGCCGGCGTGATCGGCGTCGACGTAGCCGATTAGCTTAGTCGGTGTAGCTGCGCTCTTGTGGTAGGTTAGCCCGATCGTCGCGGTGCTGACGAAGTAGTGGAGAGCGCGATCAAGTTCCGCCAGGTGTTCAGCTTCAGGCTTCTTGAGATAGGTGGCGAGCTGACTTGCGGAGTAGGATAAGTCAGGACGGCAGGTGACGGCGGCGAATAGCAGGCATCCGAGCTTCTTCTGATAGTCGCGTATGCCGGCGGGCTTGAGTAGAGTAGTTCGTTCCTTCTCGGTTCCTGATGTGTAGCGGTAGGGCGTGGAGATGGCGCTTGGTGTGAGGCTGAAACGTTTCGCGATGGTGTCGGCGTATTTCTCGGCGCTTAGATAGATGGCGTTTTCTTCTTCGCGGATGTTGAGCCCGAGGTACTGTGTAACGGTGGAGGAGACCGTGAGCGTGAGGTCTTTCTGGAGCTCTCCTTCGAACCACGTGGCGATGCCGTCGGTTGACCCAATGTAGAGGAGATCGTCCACGTAGACGATCAGGAGAACGTAGTCGCTTCCCTTAGTGAGGCGGTACATGCCTTGGTCGTGAGGTAGTTGACTAAAGCCGATGCGGATGAGACGGGCGTGCAGGTACTGCTGCCACAGTCGCGGTGCCTGCTTGATCCCGTAGAGCGACTTAAGTAGTTGACAGATTCGGTTGGGTTCGCCGTGGGAACCGTGCGGGAGCTCGACGTAGATTTCTGCATCCACAGGTGCGTAGAGGAAGGCATTCGCGACGTCGATCTGCCGTAACTTCTTCTTCTTCATGGCGGCAATGGCGAGGAGAATTCGGAGTGACGTGTGGCGGCTGACTGGAGCAAAGGTCTCGGTGAAGTCTCGTCCTTGCTCTTGGTCGAATCCACGTACGACCCAGCGTGCTTTGAATTTTTCGATCGTGCCGTCTGCTTTCGTCTTGATGCGGAAGACCCATTTCCCGGTAAGGATGGTTTTGTTCCGTGCCACGCTTACGGGAACAACCTTCCAAGTGTTGCGTTCCTCTAATGCCTTCAGTTCTCTATCCATGGCTTCACGCCATTTCTCCCTGTGTTCCCCCCCCAGAGCCTGCTGAACCGTTGCAGGCTCCTTAGGAAGCGAGCTGCGTGTGTTCCCGTGGACTGCGGTGACGAGGCCGAGGATTTGCAGCCCAGTCTGTGAGTATCGAGGGAGTTCTGGATCCTCGGGATAAGCTGCTTCGTCTCCCGTTTCTGGGTCGGGCATGAAATTTGGCCCTACCCTTTCTGCTTCGTTGGTGTTGACTGTCACAGGTGTTACGTAACCATCGTCGGCGAAACGGTAGAAGATTTCGGCGTTGTTACTGTCGCGAGGATTATCCTCATCCATGGGCACGTCGACGGAGCAGTATGGGAGAGGTCCGGCTTCTTCTGAGGCGTTGTCGACGTTCTGTTCATCCCAGTCTGCTTCGTCCGCTGCTGACGCGAAGGCTCGGTCACCACGAAAACCACTGGTGAGGTCCCGATTCTCGTGCAAGTTGGCGAGGTACGTCTGAAGGGTGAGTCTTTCGTAGAAGATCACGTCACGTGCTGCTACTGTTTCCTTTGTGTGGACGTCGAAGATTTTCCATGCGTTGTAATTTTTCTCGGTGCCGAGGTGTAGTCCCCACTGTGCCCGTTGCGAAAATCTTCCCGCTCGTGCTTCTGGGGGTCTGTACTGTACCATGCACCCGAAAACTCGTAACATTTTCGTGCTGCCCTGCTTCCCTGTCCACAGCAGATGCGGTGATGCGTTGTTCGGGAGTGACGACGACGACAACAAGTTGTGTAGCATGACAGCGTGGTCCATTGCTGCTGGCCACTGGTGGTTGGGTAGCCGCATGCCACGTAATAGTTTGCGCATGCTGTTCTGCAGGGTCCTGTTCAGTCGTTCTGCAACACCTTGCTGCTGATGTGCGTAAGGAAGGGAGAGGAGTTGCTTGATCCCCCTTTCCGCCAAGAACTGCTTGAAGCGGTGAGAGGTGTACTCGCCACCTCCGTCTGACTGGAATTTTTTTCAGTTGTGTTCCAGACTCTCTCTCTGCTATCGGTAGCCAGGCGGCGAATGCTGCGAGTGCCATGTCGCGGCTGGGTAGGTTGCGATGCCAGACGTATCGAGTGGCGGCGTCGATGAAGGTGATGGTGTAGTTGTAGTTGACTTGTCCTGGCTCGCGATTGTAGAGGATGTCGCTGTAGACTTTTTCGAGTGGTGCGTACGCTGGAGCGCTCGGGTTGTGATGTGAAGCAAACGGTCGATGAGGTAAGTCAGCTTCGGGACATATAAGGCAAGTCCCTCGTGCCTTCTGGAGTTCTCTGCCATCGGGTAGAAGTAGAGAATCTTTGTCAAGGACTCCTGCTCTTATCGTGTTATTCAAAACCGTGTTACTTGGATGTCCTGTTCGTGCGTGCCAGATCTCTTCAGAGGCACGGTGTCCAGGTGAACGCTGATATGCGTCGGAGTTGGAGTAAAAGCTGGCGACGAGGTTGGCGCTTCGGTGGACTTCACGTTGAGTCGGATTCAGCTGTTTCGCGGGTGTTGGTGGTGCTTCGTCGACTATGACTGGTGTCGTTGTTCCTGCTGCTGCTGATGTTGTTGCTGCTGCCGATGTTGTTACTGCTGCTGATGTTGTTGCTACTGCCGATGTTGTTACTGCTGCTGATGTTGTTGCTGCTGCCGATGTTGTTACTGCTGCTGATGTTGTTGCTGCTGCCGATGTTGTTACTGCTGCCGATTGTCGAATTGTTGCTAATGCTCGTGTTCGTTCTGCTTCAGGAATGGTGTGCGAGTACCAGAAGCCTCCTGGGCTGAAGTCGGGGTCGAGATCCGGAGGGTGTGTCCAGTCAGTGAAATTCACGATGGCGTCGCTGTCTGCAGTGCCCAGGTCAGGAACGAAGTCGAGGACGAAGACGTTGTTCTTCAGCACTGCTTTCCCGATGTAGAGACCGCCTCTCCCGTGGTAAAGTTTGAACTCCTGGGTCGTGCTGTCGGCTTCCAGATGAATTCCTTTCGCCATCAACTGGCTAACGCTCAGTAAGTTGTAGCCGAGTCCTTCAGCGATGAGTACCTTAGACATGTGCAGTATGACATTTGTTTCTCTTGACTGAAGCTGTACCACTCCTTGTCTTCGTGTGCGCAGGTTTTGGTTGTTGGCAACCGTGATGATCACTTCCCGTTGGAGTCGATGTTCGCGTTGTACGAAACGCCCGGACGAGCACATGTGTTGCCCGCAGCAACTGTCCAAGAACCAGGTGTCTTGGCCGGACGGTTCACTTTGAGCGATGGCGGCGTACGTTGGATTCGGCTGGAGTAGCTCACGGCGAGGCGTTCTGTTGTCAAGCTCTTCTTCCGGTGAGTAGTGTGGTGGTGATTCGGTTGTACATGAATCGGTTATCTTCGTCATGCAGTTGATTATATTTCTTGCTCCTTGTGCAGGTTGTCCGGGTGAAGTCGTTGAAGCTTGAATAGTGGTCGTCGCACTTGCTTGTGTTGAAGCCATTTGGGAGCTTGAAGGTCGAAGTTGTCGCTGTGGTGCCGTTGATTGCTGACGATTCGGGCAGTGTGTGCGCGGGTGCCCTGAAGTCTTGCAGATGTGGCAGAAGGGAGGTACTATCTTCGGTTGCTGCTGTCGGTTGTTATAATTGCTGTGTCGTCGTTGAGTGTGGAATGCGAACTCTGATACTGTCGTTTTCTTCCTGTGTCGTTCTTCCTGCAGGTCCATATCTTGCTGCTCGGCATGTATTTCGGCGCAGAGTGCAGCTTCAGAGATTCTTCCGTGGGCTCGAAGAATGGCTTT